TCGTAGTATTCCGCCTACCGAGAGGTTATTCATAGGAGGAGATTTCAATGGTCATATTGGGTCGTCTGTAGGTTGTTATACTGAGGTGCATGGCGGTTTTGGTTTCGGGGAGCGGAACAGAGGGGGAATTTCGCTGTTGGACTTTGCCAAGGCATTCGATCTTGTGATTGCGAACTCAAGTTTTCCGAAGCGGGAGGAACATTTGGTTACTTACCAAAGCTCGGTGGCAAAGACTCAGATTGACTATCTCCCCCTCAGGCGATGCGACAGAAGGTTGTGCGAGGATTGCAAAGTTATCCCAGGTGAGACCCTTGCAACGCAACATCGGCTTTTGGTGATGGATATTGGCATTATGATAAGGAGGAAGAAGAGGTCAATAGGAGGCCGCCCGAGGATTAGGTAGGGTGCCTTGACTAAGGATAAAGCTCAGGAGCTGGAAGTAAGGTTATCGACAATGAGAGCTTGGAGAAGTAGTGGGGACGCAAACACTATGTGGTTGACGATGGCAGACTATATAAGGAAGGCGGCGAGAGAGGTGTTAGGGATATCTTCGGGCCGCGCCGGGGGCCATAAATGAGACTGGTGGTGGAATGCAGTTGTCCAAGGTAAAATGGAAGCGAAGCAGGCGGCTTACCTGCGGTTAGTAGGGAGCACTAGCAAGGAGGAGAAGAGAGCGAACAATGAGAGATATAAGGTAACTAGGAAGGAGGCGAAGATGGCAGTAACGGAGGCTAAGACGGTAGCTTTTGCTCGTATATATGAGGAGCTACGGAACAAAGGTGGGGAGAAGAAGTTATTCCGACTCGCTAAGGTGAGAGAGAGGACGGCTCGGGATCTGGACCAGGTGAGGTGCATAAAAGATGAGGACGACAAAGTTTTGATGGGGGATGACCAGATTAAGAGGAGATAGCAGACCTACTTTCATAAACTTCTAAATGAAGAAGGGGATCAGGATATTGTACTAGGCGAATTGAGGAATGCAGACAACCCCCATTAATTAAGTTATTGTAGGGACATTGAGGTCGATGAGGTCATAGAGGCAATGCGTAAGATGAGGAAGGGCAGAGCTACCGGGCCAGACGAAATTCTGGATGAACTTTGGAGGTGTATGGGTAGAGCAGACTTGGAATGGCTTACGGGGTTGTTTAATGTTATATTCAAGACTAATAGGATGCCTGAAGAGTGGAGGTGGAGTACAATGGTTCCGTTGTATAAGAACAAAGGCGATATCTAGAGTTGTAACAACTATAGGGGTATCAAATTACTGAGTCATACCATGAAAGTCTGGGAGAGAGTAGTAGAGATGAGAGTGCGAAGGATGGTGTCTATGTCAGACAACCAGTTCAGGTTCATGCCGGGGCGATCTACCACATAAGCCATCCAACTTATTAGGAGGATGATGGAACAATACAGGGATAAGAAGAAGGATCTCCACATGGTGTTTATCGATCTAGAGAAAGCGTATGACAGAGTTCCTAGGGAGGTCTTATGGAGATGCTTAGAGGTTAAAGGGGTCCCAGTAGCCTACATTAGGGTGATTAAAGACATGTATGATGGAGCTAAGACTCGGGTTAGGACAGTAGGAGGCGACTCCGAGCATTTCCCGGTTCTTATGGGGTTGCACCAAAGGTCTGCGTTCAACCCTTTCCTATTTGCCCTGGTGATGGATGCCATAACGCATCATATTCAAGGGGTGTCATGGTGCATGCTATTTGTTGATGACATAGTCCTAATTGACGAGACACGATGCAACGTCAACGAGAGGCTAGAGGTTTGGAGACATGCCCTTGAGTTCAAAGGTTTCAGGTTGAGCAAAACGAAGACGAAATACCTCGAGTGCAAATTTGGGGCCGAGCCGACAGAAGCGGGAGTGAAAGTGAGGCTTGACTCTCAAGTCATCCCTAAGAGGGGTAGTTTCAAGTACCTTGGGTCAGTTATTCAGGGGATCAGGGAGATCGACGAGGATGTCACACACCGTATAGGGGTGGGGTGGATGAAGTGGAGGTTGGCGACGGGAGTCCTGTGTGATGAGAAAGTGCCACCGTTACTAAAAGATAAGTTTTATAAAGCAGTAGTTAGGCCTTCCATGTTGTATGAGACCGAGTGTTGGTCGGTTAAGAACTCACACATCCAGAAGATGAAAGTAGCAGAGATGAGGATGTTGAGGTGGATGTGCGGGCATACAAGGATGGATAAGATTAGGAATGGAGATATTCGAGAGAAAGTGGGTGTGACCCCCATGGAAGACAAGATGCGGGAAGCAAGACTCAGATGGTTCGGGCACATTCAGAGGAGGAGCACTGTTGCACCGGTGAGAAGGTGTGAGCGACTGGCTGTGGTGGGCACGAGGAGAGGTAGAGGGAGACCTAAGAAGTATTGGGGAGAGATGATCAGGCAGGATATGGCGCGTTTTAGGATTACTGAAGACATGGCCCTTTACAGGGAATTGTGGAGGTCGACCATTAAAGTTGTAGGATAGGGGGAAGTTGTGGATATTTCTACAGCACACTAGAGTGAGACTAGCCAGTTAGGAGTTAATCTTAGGATGCTACTGATCAGCTACTGATATAGGGATGTATCTGTTGGATATTAGTATACCTTCCATCTTTTTCGTATTTCCTATATTTCTTATATTGCTGTTATTTTGTTATTTTATGTTATGTTATGTTATGTATTTTATGTTATTTTATGTTATTTTAGTATGAGTCTATTGATAGTACTAATGTATCGTCTCTTGTTGCTGTCTTGAGCCGTGGGTCTCCTGGAAACAGCCTCTCTGCCCCTCGGGGTAGGGGTAAGGTCTGCGTACATATTACCCTCCCCAGACACCACTTGTGGGATTATACTGGATTGTTGTTGTTGTTGTATGCATCTATGATTCGCGTCATTCGACTCTCTGGCAGTGCACAATTTANCGGGGTAGGGGTAATGTCTGCGTACATATTACCCTCCCCAGACCCCACTTGTGGAATTATACTGGGTTGTTGTTGTATATAAACTGCCTAAAGTCTATTTCTTGTAATTACCAGTTGTCCTTGAAAATCTGCTTTAATATGCAGCTAGAATAGGGTGAATTAATATATATGAACAAATAAGTTGTAAGAAAGTAACTAATCTACCCGCAAAACAGGTCTACGTCCGAACCAAATTAATTCGATTCTTCGATACAGGTTCTTCGATTTTCGGTACGGTCTTCGGTATTGAGATATCAATATTTCGGTTCTTCGGTTAGGTATTCGGTATTAAGGTTTCAAAATTTCGGTATACCGAAATACCGAACTTTTTTAGTATGCATATTAAGTAGCTTAATTTAATCAAATTTGAGTCCAACCTATAAACCAATCCAAGTTTCATTTTTCCTTTTAGCTTATCAGAATACATTGAAATTACTATTTCAGTGAAGTAATAAAATTAAGCTTGAGGAAATTTGGTTTATTTGCTGCTACTACCTCAATTCAATGCCATATTCTGTTTATTGCATTAACTTTTACTGATCTTTATAAATAGAAAATATTTTTTGTCTATCATTAACTAAGAATATTGATCTTCAATAACTACTAAAAGATGTGTACTTACTGCATCTAATAAATTAGCAACAATAATATGTGATTATCTCATAATATACAAGTGGAGAAGGGTAGAGGGGCGGGCCCATTATCCATCGAGTTTCAAAGGTTGCTGTTGGTCCTAAGGATCGGCCCCCGATCGATTTCTCGGTCATCAATATATATATATATATATATATATATATATATATNTTGTTGTATCACACCAATAAAAGACAAACAAAAAAATTAGTAGGTCGATTAGTAGTCAAAAAAATGAGTATATGGAAACATCCATAATTTTATTTTAGCCAGCCAAAACATATTACAGTTGATGCAATATCACAAAATCCACTTGATGAATTACCTTATTCAAACCAATTTTGTACATGACGTTCACTGCTTCTTCACCAATGCGATGTAAGAAGTAACGTTATTCCATGTTATGGCAGATGATGACCAATATATATATATATATATATATATATATATATATATATATAAAATAGAACATTCAACTTTAAGTAATCTAGACTCAAAATACGTAGAATAACTTCTGCTTTGAACCCCTTAAACAATAAGTAGAATTTCAGAATTTCACAAGGTCAACAGGGGAGTGGATTTTGCTGCATTTCCATTTTGTGAGTTTGTATAATCTGTTGGTTTACCAGATGACGTCTTATTTGTTACCTTGCTTTCATTTTGCTATATGAATTTGGTGGGGTTTATGTCTGAAAACGGACAGTTGTTGCTGCATTTTTATGGAAATTTGTCATGCAAATTTGTTGTGTAAATTGATAAACCGATTATGTAATAGGCATCAAATCTCATTGAGGGAGCTCTGTGTTTATCTCAAAAGTGGAGCTTCATATTTTTCAAAATCAATTAAACAGATAAAAATTAGTAGCTGATAAACCAACAAGTTACCATCTTTATTTTGAAGTTGAAACTTGTGAAAGTATTTAGTTTTAAGCTCTTGATGACAAAAAGCAAGACTTTCTAACTAGGGAAAAGGAAAAGTTAATGGCAAGAACACAATCGATTATGCCGGAACTGGTGCTAGAAAAATTAGTAATACGGTTAATCAAGCCAATATTTGTATAAACTACAAAGAGTGCAAGTCATGTTAGATTACATTGATAAAGATAATTGACAATCTAATGTATTCATAAATTCTCAATTAACCTGTTAAATTATTTATGCAACTACATAAATATTAATAGATTCTTAATCTATGTAAATGAATTTTATTCTATTTACTTCTTACTCCTTTTGCATTATTTTGTTAATATAATTTTATTGTATACATATTATGCATGTACTAGATTATGGCACCTGAAAAACAATGGATGCAACTTATTCATGATCGACTTGATGATGCTTATAAACTTGGGGCAGAGAAATTCTTGGATTATGCTTTTACAAGACTAGGAGAAACACACACAATACGTTGTCCATGCGTCAAATGTGGTAATGCATATTCAGGAACACGTGAGCAGGTTAAGTCACATTTAATAGTATATGGAATAATCCAAAATTATACTTTGTGGTATCACCACAGGGAGAGGTTAAGTGAGCCACATTCAGATTCTGAGCTTGCAGATGACAATGATGTTGAAGATAGTGATGGTGAAGATGAAATACATGGGATTTTAAGAGATTTATACCCCAATTTCGATAGAGACAATATAGAAACGGGCGGTGATGATTTTGTTGAGGAGGAACCAAATCCGGAAGCAAACAAATTTTATAGGCTCTTAAAGGATTTTGATCAACTACTGTACGAAGGTTCAAAAATTTTTAAACTTTCTACTGTGATTAAATTGCTTCACATTAAAAGTATTGGTCGTTGGAGTAATGAGTCATTTACAATGTTGTTGAAAATATTAAAGGAAGATTTGTTGCCTGATGAATCAAACTTGCCAGCTTCATATTATGAAGCAAAGAAGATAATTCACGACCTTGGGCTTTCTTACATGAAGATTGATGCATGTAAGAATGATTGCATGCTATATTGGAAGGATGATGAGCTTCTTCAATTTTGCAAAGTTTGTGGTGCATCTAGGTACAAAGAGGATAAACGTAGCGAGGAAATAAAATGTAGAAGTGGAAAAAAGATACCATACAAGATTTTAAGTTATTTTTCTCTAAAGCCAAGACTTCAAAGATTATTTATGTCCTCAAAGACATCTTCTTTGATGACATGGCATCTGACACGACCCAATTTCCAAACCCGATCGTGATGGCGCCTCTCGCGAAGACAAGGCCAGCCAGACCAAACAAAACACCTTTTGTAAACA